CTAGGTATGGTGACAAAATTTATCCGAGGCCTAGCACTAATCCCTGCTCCCTTGGAAAGAAATGTGCAGTTGTTTTAAAGTCATTCATCCTAACCTTACAGCAAATGCCATAAACTGAGTGCATAAGGCACACCACACAACCTACAGTGAATTAACTTGAACATCTGTTGCGGGGAACTAGGAATTGTTCTCCCAGATCAAACCAATGGACCATCTAGTCCAGTGAATGATCTCTGGAATGTAGTTTGTATCTATTTAGGATTTTTAAAGCAAGCTGCTGTTTCAGCCCCCAAGAGGTCCCATCAAGGGTCCAATCAGGTCTCAACTATAGCACTATTATATCCCAAATAAAGAAGAAACAGGCAAGTCTACTTTCATTATGTATGCAGTGTGTTCAGAGTAAATTGCACAGTAGGTGAAAAGTAAGTGGAAACTGGAACTTCTGGTTAAGAAACAACACTACTATGGAAAAATGGTTTCTTTTTACAAGAATTATATTAATTTAAATAGATAATATTCCCTTTAAAAGCAACACAACTTTAAAAGATTTCATCAAGCTTCATAAGTAACTTAGCTGCCAGTCAGCCATGTTAGATCCCACTCTACTCAGTATCCAGAGGGTGGGAAATGCTACTACAGGTGTCATTACTAGTACATTAGAAAGCAGTGAACTATAGCAGTTAGAGCTTGTTGGTGAAATACAGGTGACATAGAAAAATGAGCCCTTGGAAAGTTGAAATACTTATTCTTAAACCACATAGGAACTTTTGCATTAACATAGTTCAGAGACTCTTAACCCACAGGGGTTCAACCAGTGGTCTTAGGAATAGAGTGAGTCAGTAAAGTACTGACTACCTACAGAAATAATGGGAAGGATCTGAGTAAACTACAACCTTAAAATAGGCCTATGATCAAAGTTATATGACAGAAACATCTCTGAATGGAAATTAACTTACAAGATGTGAATATTTATGCAGTATGGACTATATAGAGGGCTATTCCTGTAAGTTGCCAAACCACCATTTAGAATAGTGGCACAAGACACGTAACCAAAAGTTTTTATTTGCATTGTGCTTGTGATGCCATCCACCTTTTTCAGTATCTCTGTGCCTTAAAAAAGCCTCAAACTATAAATAGGAGTGCTTCCTGAGCTCTTTAAATGAGAGAGAATGAAGTGTCATTGTGTTTCAGTTACAAATATGCATACTACACCCTAACTGAATCAGAGATGCAAAGCTTTCACGAGCAAGAACTCACTTCAGATGCTAACAAAGGATCCATGCAGGCTTTATCCTTTAGCTGTTGACATAACACAAAGTGCAAGAGCATAGGGATTTGCTCAGTGCAGGTGCATAATACATGCCATGGAAACCAGAACACAATCAGCACCGAAAAACGTTAAAGTAAGTATGTAAAGACAAACAAAATTAAGACAATGCCAAAGGTTCCTGCTAATTTTGGATACCCACACTAAAGAAGGCAGATATTCAGGAAATGCTAACGACTCACACTCAAAAATCCAGCAGAATCTGCCCCTAAAAATAAGGTAACCCAAATCACACAGCACATTCAAAGTCAAACAGAGAGTGAGGAGTGAGGAAGAAAAAGAAACCCCAAACAAACAAACAAATCAACCAGAAGGCTGAAATGAGACCTGATGACACATCTGCTAATTTTCGAAGTATCATGTCAAAATGGGGCAAGTTGCACCCATTCTATCAGGTTGGATTTGGCCCAGGGAATCTATATAGCTGCCAGCTGATACAGTGGTGTATGGCCTAGAAACACTTACATTATTTTTCAGCAAAACCACTACTATACTTTACTAGTGCAATTTCCATGCTGTTCTGTAACCCTCATTTTTTTGCTCTTTAATTCTGGCCCAATTAAATGTATCTGAGTGAACAAATTTAGATTTTACACAAAATTCTATACTGAGAGGCAACCAATACTTTTCTAAATAATATACCTAATCACAGGGTACAAAATTACTTTTTAGTAGTTCTACAATTTCACCACAGCACAATTGTTGATTTATTTTACAGTCTCTTTTTAAGAAAGAGATGGGGAGCATAGGAAGGCACCAGAGTCAATGAGGGCCCTTACCAGCTGTACATCATCAGATATAGTTTGAAGTGGTTTTATATCCAGGGACAGCCCCAGAACCAGAAACACCTGAATGTAAGCTAAGGATTTATCAGATGTTTCCTGTGCAATAGCCAAAGAAAAGCTTTGCCCTGAATATATGAGCTTAGCTAGTCATGGTCTGAATAGCAGAAGGGGGCAAGTTCCACATCTCTCCTTTAAATGGAGGTTCTTGATGCTCAGAACATGTGAATAATAGTCATCAGTGAAAAACCCTGGAAAATTTGCTGTACTTTATTAGACTGTTCTCTCCTGAGCAGATGATTCAATCTCTCTTGAACATGTGATTCAATCCCATCCAGAGCACCAAACCACTGGAAGACAGTTTAAACAGGTTGGCAAGGTAGAGAAGTCTAATATATACTACTTTTCTGTGGAAGAGTGGAATGACAAAGCAGTGACCTTGTGATCTGCTGCTTGACATTAATTATCAAAGGCATCATGCTTTCTCAGAGACAGTACATCAGTGACCTCCTTCAGCTCAGGGAAGGCACTGGCCTCAAGGAGCAGGTCACAGATACATCAGCTTCTCTCACATATACTAAGGAATCGAGTGGCTTGATTCAATATCCCATCTGCTCTATTCCAGTACAACTGTATGTAGAGATAATCCAAATGGACAGTGATGAGGAGACAGTTTCTCTTCCTTGAGCATCTTTTCTTCAGATTTAGAATCTTACTAGATTTTAAAGTTACTTTTTCAGTATCTGAGGTCTCTCCATCTTTTTTTAAAAAACAAGTTACAGTTCCTCCATAGCATGCAAGACCGATTCTCAGATGGGAGTAGAGCACCAGTTACCACAAAATCATAGGTGAAATATTTTTAGAAAATTACATTTTTAGTAAGTCATAAGCAAAATTTCCTAAGAGACTGTAAACCAATGAGGCCACATATGGATGATAAACATGCCATACTGCTGAGGAGGACTCAAGCACTGCCTTGCTCCAGGCAGAATGCTTCCTAAACTGGAAGCAGTGTAGTCACATTTTGCAGCATGGTGGGTGGACTAATTAGAGGTAGCACTGTCACTCAGCACAACCAGTAGCCCACCTAATGCACCACTATGCTACTTCCAGATCACCCAGTGCAGCATGCTTGGGGATACCACTCCAGAGCATGTAACTACCATGCAGACATAACCTAGGCCTCACTAAAAGCAACATCTCTTAACATCACTAGGTCACTTAAAAGCTTTTAAAATTGTTACCTCCTGTGTAATATAGAATGTAAACCTCTTGGAGACAAGTGTGCCTCCTGTCAGATCCCACACACCATGATGGTATTATAGATAGTTACTGCATTATTTTTTATAGTTGAATTTTTACCACTTTCCTGAAGTCACTCTGAAAACATGGTGCTTTTTAAAATATTGTTACCCACAAATGAAGTGCCAGTATATTATCTTTACAAGGTTGAAAACAGAACTGTCATTATAATATTATGAACTATCATCACTGAATCTATTCGATAATTAGTGTCCCCAGAACGGAAGAGTGGGTATTTTCTTGAGAAGAGCAGAGAAACCTCTACTATATCTCAGGCATCACATCTCTTTTGACCTTCACTTTGTGTACAGCTTTCTTTAGAGTACAAAGTGGTTATGAAAAAAATGGGATATGGACTTTTGCCCTGTAAGTGAAAGCAATGGCTGCCATTTCCAAACTGGCTACTTAAAAGCAGCAGCACTGGTGTGTCATCAACATTTAATTCTTCTTTCAGAACCTGGCTGCCCATGAAGGGGGTTGTTTTTGCTTGATTATGTTGTTGCTGTTGGTACTGGTGCAGTGCTCAAAGGCCTAACTAGCATCAAACTGCCTGTAATAGGCAATGTAAACATTTACGGTCCTGGCCCTAAGAGACTTCTACCAGGTACATCACAGACCTAGCCATCCAGAAGGTGTTCTCAGATGCTTTGCAGTTCTTATCAGTTCATGAAACTCCAGAGATCGATTTCTGCACTAAAACAGTGTTTCAGCGCTGTCAAGTTAACACTCAGATTCTTTGGGCCACCCAAGCTTCCAATCAACTCAAACTTGCACCACTTATAAAAAGATCCTATGCTAGTAGAGGATGCCATGGTGAAAGAAAGTCCATTATGCTTCCTCTGTCCTCTATCAGAAGTGGAGGAAGGAGAGACATGCACAGAGAGCAGCTGCAGCAAAGATGCCCCTGCAGAAGTTCTTCACTGAACTTTTGCAGCTAAAGTACAGACCCTTTGCTGCATACCACAATGGCACAAAGGGGCCATAAACCAACTAGAGAACTTGGCCCTGTAGAGTTGCTTTACCTCTCTCCAATCATAACAATTCACCATCACAGAAGATAGCACCCTGAATAAAGGACAATTTATTGTGTCCAAAATGTGATTACATTTTACACATAAATACAGGCTATGCAATTTGCTTCTCCTTTGAACCACAGGAATACAGTCCAGGATTCCATTTCAGACTGCCTTTTTTCCTTTATTTTGTAATACATTTCAAAAACAACCTTTCCAACACCACCAGCAGTATCAAGTCCCACAAGGGAGCCAATGATTTGCCTGCTTGCTGGATCTTCCTTTTTGTGGAATGAAAGGGAGTCTCTATTGACACTGCCTGATCACCATCATTAGACTCTAATATTTGCATGACATAACACACACACACACGCACACACACAATTACCCAACCATTTTATTACAAAGTCTCAATTCTCTCTTTTGAAAATAATTACTCTGGTACATGACACTTGCAACACCTGATTTTATGAAGAGAACTAGATCTTTAAAGAAGTAAAAAATAAGCATCTTAGGATGATAAAGGACTGGCTCTACCCTGAATAACTGGCCTAAAAATAATAACTCGTACCTTTCCTTCAGCAGCAGTGATTTTCATGGAGATTTTCATAGTACGAACTGATAAATCACTGCATCACTTGCTCCAGTTTATATGGCTGAATTAACTTTCATAAGTATTCTCAATTATCTGATCTGCATGACTATTTCCTTTATCCAAACAAGGATGTTTCTATGATTTTTTTTTAGGCTTTAAGGCATGTGGTAACTGTAAATAAACATTTCATGTAAATTACCCATTAATCTTCAGGACTGGTATATTTAACATTTCATGGTAATGTTAAAACAAAATAGCTTCAGGGGCAAATGAGCCTTGTAATAATGTGATATCAACTCCTCTAAGAATTCAGAAACTAAACTTGTCACAAGAATGTCATCACTAAAAACACTGAAGAAGTTTGTGCAACACAACAATATTTTGTTTTGATGCCTACATAATGTTTTTCTGCTGAGGTAACAGATATTTTTACTGCTGTATAACAAGACAGACAGGAAAACAGAGACCTTCCTGCATTAGAAACCCAAGTCACCATTATTGACTTGAGTCTGCAACATCAAGATTCAATCCTGCAAGGAATTCTTCACAGCAAGATCTGTTTAACAGCTCCATTAGTGATTCATTAATATCTTTGTTAAAAACAGAGCCAAAGTTTCCATTCATAGATGCTTCATTTCCATTCTCCTGCTGAAAATTACTCATTAAATCCTGGATCCAACCGAGTTCTTCAGAAAGTTCCCGACTCAGAGACTCATATCGAGACTGTAGATCAATGCATTTCCCAGTGACACTTGCAAGACTGGCACCTATAGTCTGGATATCGTCCTGCAGATGTCTCTTCAGAGATTCGATTTTACGGTATTCATACTTAAGCTGAGAAAGCTTGTGCCTCACATTTTCATTTTCTTCTTTGTACCAAGCTTCTTTTTCATTATAAATGGAAACCAATGCATCTATGTCCTCCTGCAAAGAATCATGAGACACAGCTAGAGTACTAAAACCACGTTCCATCAGAGAAATGTCTTCTACCACATGGGCAAAGCGCTCAAAATTGATGTAGGTGTTGTTTGGTGGCATACTTGAATGGCACTTTATGGTGTATTCTTTCAAACGTTTTGTTTTCAGCTGTGTATTCTCAGCCTTCTTGTTTTCTTGGACTTTTGTCTCTCCCTTCAGCTGGTGAGTCTTCAGACAGAAGAATCAGTATTATGATTTTTTTTTAACAAGATAGTGCACTACTTGAAATTCTACACAGCAAAGGATGCAAAATGCATTTCCACAGTGCTGAAAGATGTTAGACTCCCAGACATTCCCTTTCATGCATTTGATTAAAAGTGAAAAAGGGGGTGTGACATTCATTCCCACATGATAAGGATAAATAAATAAGAGGATTGTGGGCTACTTTATTGTGCAATTAAAACCATTAATATTTGTGACAAAATAAATAATCCTGAAAAACACACCACTCCATGTTTTGTACACCACAATAAAAATGGAAGTTTAAACACCATCATTTGTCATGCCAAGATTAGCCAAATTTACTTTCAATCAGAGAAATGCAAGCTGTGCTTAGGACAAAACACACACACAAATCCAAGTACCAAGCAAATCAAGGTAAGTATTAGCTTACTACAGCAGTGGTATTTTTTCACACTGATTTTGGTACATTCTCAACTCTAGAAAACACTACACAAAATGTATGTTGTGTGCTCATGCAAATAGCATATTGGAAAATAATAATAAGTTTGTTCTAATACAGAATGCTGTATGCTTATCAATTTGTATTTCAACAATTAATAACAAAACTTTAGCCTCCTTCAACATTTATGGTAATAAAAGATGTTGAAATTAAGGCTTGCAGAAATCCAAGTTTTGCAAAGGACTGAACAGATTTTTACTGTATGCCTTGCAGCCAAGGATCTTGAACTGTTTGACACCTGGTTCTTCTGCATAACATGTCATGTAGACTCGAGGCATTATTATTGCTTTTATTGATGCATGAAATTGAGACATGGAAAGACTAAAAGGTCACTGTGAGGTTCAAACTGATTTTTGAAAGCCCATACCCATGGCAAGTTTTTTTTTGCTATTTAGGCAATGGCCTTCAGTGTGGAAATACGAAATCCCATACAAATTCTGTACTAGCTTATCCTGAATTATTGTACATCAATTATAAAAAGAAGACATAGGCAGTTACTGTATTTGATCTTACCGTTATCCAAGGATGAGAGAGCGCTTCCTGAATTGTGAGTCGCTTCCTACAACCAACCAAACTTAAATGAGAAAAACCTTGAATGTTAGCCCTTCTTAATACTATTCCTCAGATCTATAAAGTGGTCATCAAGCAGTGCCAAGACTCACTCTCAACTTTCACAGCTACATTTTCCCTCAGGGCAGGTGGTTTGTATACGTCTTAGTATCTATTTTACCAAGCTTTCCAGTCAAAATTGTCAGCACTACTCACTTTCCCTTTTTCATCAATTAAAGTTTTCACCTCTTTTACCCTTCTGGAGGAAGAGGTAAAACATTGTTGCTTTCTTAATATTTAACATGCCTAAAAAAAGTGGATTCTTCCTATACAAGCTCAGTCTGACTTTTTATGAATCAATTTATATCATATTAATTGCATCTAAAAGTCTTTAGAGCTCTTGCAATCAAATCTCCCCTGGAGCTGGTGCTTCCTGAAGGCAGCAATATTAGGAAGGATACTTCAGTTCTAATCAAGAAATCTAACTTCCTTCTGTCCCATGGCAGCTCTGCTGACAGTACACTATCCATCTCCCCCAAGAATAACAGGCAAAAATGTGGCATTACCCTTGCAGTTGACAATGGGACAAATATCAACAGGGTGGTCTGTCTTTCTTTGAAGATACTGGTCAGAACTATGCAAAACATTCCTATCAAACTCCAACCTGTGACAGCATATGATGAGGTATGATGTACAGAGATGTTGGCAGAGGTATCTCACCCATTCCCTCAGCTGGCCTCCTTGCTCTTCTCCCTATAAACCACAATGGCTGCCTTCTCATTACTGAATTTTTAGGGGCCCCAGGACACAATCATTGCCTGCCATCCCACACCATTCTGCAAAAGAATGGTCCCTAGTCTATTTTTCAGGAAAAATCAGATAACCCCTTCCACTCCTACAATGTGATTATTTAAAGGACTCGGCACAAGACATTTTCCTATAGTCATAAGCAGAGCACCTTCCCCCTACTACAGGGGTGGAACTACAGGAATAGAGCCCAGGGATATTCAGATTGCCAACACTGGAAGCTCAACTAGTGTTGAAAAGTCAGGGTGCTCAGCTGACACATTATCTATCACAAGTATTGAAAACTCTGGATGCTTCATTCTATCCTCTGTTTGGTCCATTTTTGCACTGGTTTGACTGAAGAAGAATTAAGATTTGCATAATCCAGTTGATGACAAAGAGGCAGAATATAATATAGCTCCATTCTCATATAGTGTCTTTGCAGCTGCAGAAGGAAATGGAAAAATTCCTCTGCAGTTATGCTTTGAGGACAGTTTTGCTTCCGGTTTCACCCTGCAGAGTTCAGCAGGGACTGTGCTGCATGAGATAGCAGCAGTTTAGTTGTAAGACTGATTAGGAGGTCAAAATATCCTTTTAGCTTTAAACTCTTGGTCTGTGCGTATATTAGCCAGATACTCATGTTGCTGTTACTATGGGAACATCAGGGAAAAAGAAAGAAGAGCATCTCAGGCCACATAGTTTTGCCTAACACATCACTCTGAGATGGTGACATACTCTGGAGAGAAAGCTCTGTAAACAGCCTGGCATGCTCAGTTTTGCCTGCATACAAGGCAAACACTGTTTAGTACCTTCTCTTACCGTGTATCTTTCACCAGGAGTTTCTGGATAAAGTCTTTTGCCAGATCACTGGTGTGACTGAAAAATTCCTCGTCAAATTCATAATTCACAGCTGTGATGTTGGCAAGAGTTTCCTGCTTATTTTCTCCAAGGAAAGGTGATGCACCACTCAGCCTAAGCAGATGGCAGAGAAGAACCATGTTTTCAGTGGAAAAATAAACATCAGCAGTACTGTGGCTAGAGACTGTGAAATCACACTACCAAGATGTATGAATGGGTCTCTGAGAAGACAAAACATTTGGGAAATAATGGGCCCCATTTTGGCTAACTGCATACCTAGCTACAGGTCAGACTCTCACCGCATAAACCCCAAGGCAGCGCTTACATATGCCCATAGACATCAACAACCCAAATGGACAGACTTTCCCAACCCTTCATTCCCATTCAGGTTGCTGCTGCCCAGCATTGACATGGTCAATGCAGGTGCAGATGCAGAGTATGTGCACGTGCACGTCCACAAGAACACACACACACACACACACGAGCATGCACCACCAGGGAAATAAGACCCTAGTGGACCTCAGCAAGAAGTCTGTGCAATGGTCTTTTTGGGGTGGAAAAACTCCTGATCTCTGCTGGTTTTTGGCTGCAGGTTCACTAAAAATTACCTATGCACACTGAGCAGAGCATGGTTCAAGAGGACTATTTCAGTACAGCATATACCCTACTTGCAGAATATACTACAGAAAGCTCAGTTGCTCAGATTTTGTGGCTTTGCCAAGTTTCTGTAGGATGGGAAGGGGCCATGGCATTTCCTAAATTCATTCCCAAATCACAATACAGTAAAATCCAATAGGTTTTCAATTTAGTTGGCACTCTGCTCCATGCCTAAAACTTCAACAATACAATGCAGACATCATCAGAATAAAACGGCATTCAGCAGTCTTTATTTAGATGGGAAGAGCTTTGAGTCTGCTTGGCATCTCTCTCAAATGCAACTGATACCCTTCACCATTAACCTCTGCCTCACAAAAAGCTCATATTACAGCACTGTGTCCAGTCCCTCCCCATACCCACCACCAAAAAAAAAATGCTGAGTTGTGGAAGTCAGGAAGTATTTACAGGAAATGTTTATAACATGGAAATAGATCTCATCCCATTTTAAAACCTCCTGGAATATTATTATTCTTGCCTACCATGTTTGGACTTTGTTACCGAAGACTCAGGATGCAGCATGCTCAAAAGAGAGATGCAGCAAATCTTTGAGTCTGATGAGTGCCCTTACATTGCTTCTCTAGCAATTTTGCTCCCAGTGAAGCTATTCTACATTGTCATTTTCAACAGGGAGCTTCTGGAGGAACACAAGACTGAAATGGATCTCCTGGGTCAGTGTGTGCAGTCCCCTGATATCTCAATGAGACCTCAATAACAGCAAATCTATCTGCTTAGCAAGGGCTTGCTGAAACAGATGATACAGGTGCACAGGGTTCTCAAGCACTCTCGGAGTATGGAACACATCTATATTGATAAATTGTTTCATCAGTGATCACATAAAAACCCAGAACTGTAACGATTACTGACATGGATCAGTAATATTAGGGAAGTCTTTTTAGCCATCTTTGGTGCAGTATTGTTTGTTTGTTCTATTTGACTACAGTACAGTTCATCTCACTGCCTCCTCCTGCTTCTCATTTTATTTTCTTTGCTTCTTTGGAACAAGAGAAGCAATCATGTGAAAAGCCAGTACTCTGTGAGCCACCAGAGATTCACAAAACATAACTGGAGAATTTCTGCCCCAGAGTCTTTGGCCATATTTTTTTTTCTTTTCCTTGCCTCATATTGTGATACAGCTGGATCTGGATCTTCCCACAGACTTTTCCCCAAGTGTGCACTTGTGTTACATCGATGTTTTACATCCTTGAGGAAATTACTTCACCTCAGTTTCTACATCTGTAGATTGGGAATGATTCTCAAACTTCAAATTACTAGGTATATAGATGCAATCTTGTTACCCTGACTCAGTGTATGTAATCACATTGCCATCTAGTGGCTAGCTCCCATGATAGCAACTGCCAACTAAACTGCTTTGGCTCCCGTGGAAGGTGCTCATATTCCTAGTGCTAGAAGTCTTCATCTTGATCCCTGCAGACAGGTTTGGGGTTAATAGGTGGCGTTCTTATGCAAACATACATGCTATCTGATCAGCATTTTGACATTCCTCAGAATGAAATATACTGTGCAATAACAAAGGTACATTTGTATCAATACAATTATAGAACTGCATTAGATGTATAAATAAAAAAGTATATTATATGCAGTGTCATACCTGGAAACCTTCCACACTAAGGATCATGTCATCACTCCTATTTCTTTTTAGAAAGGTGTTCCGTTTCTGAGCTTGCAAACTGTGCTCGCATTGCAATGTATACTAACCATCTGGGTCAAAAACATTTAACAGGAACTGCCATATTGGCAGGAGTACAGGTTCACCCACTTTATTATCTTTCTTCCAGCAATGCCTGGCATATGATGTTCTTGAGCAAGGGGAAAATCTGTTATAAAGCACCTGGCTATTTGGCCATTACTGTAACTGTAAGACAAATATCCTGGCCTGTTTCTCTTCAGCTTCCTGTTTCCCTTTCTATTAATTTGCAAACAGACGTAAATAGTAATTTATGAAGACTTTGATGTCGTATCAGGTTCAGATGTGTAACTTGATGACATAAAATGCATAAATATAGATCTGGATAGTTAGGAGCTGCTCTCTTGCTGATGTGATATAACCCCGAGTGTGCCTCTATCTGAAGCATAGGGGACAAGGGACCTTGTAGCATTCAGGTTACTTCCTCAGCATAGAGCTGAGCTGGGAACAACATGAAAGCTTGAGAGGAACTTTAATTCTGATCTGTTTGCTTTGCTTACTAGAAAGGGATTCCTTTTTTAAACCTCTATATCTGTGTTGGTTCCAATGCTGCAAAACCTGATAGTGCAAAATTTCCAAGAAAGCCAATTACAGCTCCATGTACAGCTACAGAATCTTGCCCACTGAGTTCTGTGTACAGGAGAACACCCAGACTGCAAAATCCAAGACACAGGATGGGATTTTCAGCCTAGAATGCTCTTACTGAAGTAAATCAGTGATTTCAATGGAAGTAGAATTAGACCAATGTCCGCAGAGCACTGCTGAAATTCTCACCATCAAGACACAGGAACATGGGCCGGGTTGACACCTCCCATGTCCTGAAGTCCAGCCCTTGCTTTTTAATCCCTTTCACAAAATCACCAAATTCCATTTTAAAATTAAGGTAGGCTGTGTGCTCCCCACTGTTGTTACTGGCAGGTTGTTCAGAACTTTCCTCTTCTAGTGGTTAGGAACCACCGTCTCATTTTCAGACTAAATTTATTCATGAACAATTTATAGTAATTTGCTCTTGTGCCTATGTAGTCTGTTAGCTTAAATAGCTCATCTTCCACCATGGCTTTTAACCTCCTGATGTATTTACAGACAGTGACCAGAACCCCTTTTAGCCTCTGTTTTGCTAAGTTAAAGAAGCTCTGTCCTCTCATATGACAGGCTCTTTATGCCCCCAAGTCATCCTAACAGTGTGTCTCTGCACCTTTGCCAGTTTCAGCTCACCTTTCATTATCATGGGTGACCATTATTGTATATTATGCTCCAGTTAAGGCCTCAGCAGTGTATTGCCAAACAATATTAATGCTTCCTTAACACCACCAAAAAAACTTGCCTAATGCATCCTGGGATTGTATTTACCTTTTCCATGGCTTCATCATGTTGTTGGCTCATTATCATCCTATAATTAATTTAATATACCCTGTTTTTTCTCCTTTCTATCATTCCCAACTGATGAGCTCTCTTAACAAAAATAAATGTTTTCTGGTGCTCCTTGGAGGCTTTTACTGTTAATTCATCCCATATTTATCATGTCTTAGTTTCATTTGCAACCCTTCTCTTTTTCAAAGATCAAAAGACCACAAGATATTATTTGTTCATCAGTCCATTTTCCCATTCCTGCTGTGCAGCAATTTTCCTAAGTGACTGATGAGAAGAACTGCTTTTCACTAGCTTACAACTTTTTAGACCTATTTCCACACAGGTGGGTGTAATGCTGTACTTACAGTATGTAAGTGATGACTCCTATGCTCCTAGGAAAAAAAGAGAGAGACTTGAATGTAGGTTTTATAAATGTGAATTCTAGAATACGTATAGCAGTCAGGTGTAGCTGTTAGACTGGCAGGTAATCATGATATTAATGGTAATTCAGAACCTTACAATAAAATATTACTTCTTCATAAAAAAGGGAAGGTTGTTCTGGATACAGTATAACTTGGATACTTATATACGTGTTTATGTATATAAGGTCATGTTGGCTGTATGGTAGTAGAAGTAAAAAGAAATGTCATTAAGGCAGACTGGATTAGTACCCCAAGCCTGAGCTGTTTACAGATTTTATAAATACAGCTGACACAAAGCACTGCAGGGGCATGTCTTTCAACAGGTTCTCCAAAATTAGCTTATCTGGGAATGATTTGTAATATAAATTAAATTAAAACTCATAATAGTCACCAACAGGACTTTAAATGTTTTATTCAAATATAGCATATAAAAAAAGAACAATAGACAGTTGTTTTCTTGGAGGGTAGGGGCTGTTTGATATATAAAGAACAGGGCAAATCTGAAGAAACCAACAGGACAGCAAATCAGGACAGAGGGAAAACTTTAATTCAGAACTTACCACATATCTGCAGCTAGCCCAAGTGGTTCATAGTTTACTATTTCCGGAGCTATAAGGAACATTTAATCAAACATCAGCAACTGATTGAGAAATTATTTTTAGCAACACAAATCGTATGTCTGGGCAAAGAATTACCTCAGTTGAGAAAGAGACCGCTAGTTATATGAGGCACTTTCTGCTTATAGTTGTAAAGCTATGCACATCATGGTAGGAATTTAAGCTCTTGGGCACAGCAGAACTAATTCAGTCACTGGGAACAAACAATGATCAAAGAAGGTAGGTCAAGGTCATGTGCTTTCAATGGCATAACATTATTCTTTCACCAACACAGTATTTCTCAAAACAGGGATCCCAGTATCCCTTTGTTCAAGGGTCTGAGTTGTTCGTCCCATTCTTTTTCAGAATGCCAGTTCACTAATGTCATTACTGCCTGGCCTTTACTTAATAAATGTGATCAGTTACTAAGCAACTGTATGACAGGGGATCAAGATTTTGTTCCAGTCTGTTCACAATTCATTATTACTCATGGCAAACATTATTTTAGCATGTGTAGAAAAAAGGTATTCTAATTGAAAAACATCCATATATAGGACTGGAATTAGGACGACTGAAAAATAGTAAGTTATTGAGGTGTGAAGAGATGTCTATTAATTCTGCAGGCATCAGTGTTTATTTAACAGCCTCATTTATTATCAGGAAGAGAAAGTAAATTAAACTGTGGAGACTTCTGATTGGAAGGTGTGGAAGGGGACGAGGACCAGGATCAAATATAATCAAGAAGTAGCAACATGAGAATTAGCATGGAAAAATGGCAAGGAGATATTCAGGGAGAGGAAGTGTTACCTAGAGAGCAGTGATTCCAATACAGGTATATTATTACCAGGAATCCTGGTTTTCTCTGTTTAAAAATAGCAAATTTAAAACCCTCCCCCCAAACCTGTGTTTTTCCAAAATTAAAATGAAATGCCAACTCATATCTATCCATCTATCTAGATGGATAGATAGATATCAATATATCAATTGAACACAATGTTTTATTGATATATTTACAATGTTAAAGCAATTTGGAAGCCTAACATTGCCTCAATCATTATAATAAAATAAATTCTAAATGCCTATATATTTTAGTGTTTGATTTTTCCCATACCAGCTTTGCTCACTGGGATGCAGATCCAGCTGCAGTGGAGCACTTTGTGGTGCTAAGCAGGCCTGATATGTGGATGGCCTGCCCCGCCACTGTCCATGCTTTTGCCCCCCACTCCCAGCCCACAGCCCCCTGGCCCTGCTGGTGCTCCTCACTCCCAACCTGCAGCCCCCAGCCCTGTAAAATATGAGGAAGACGGGGTGGGGATGTACAGGTAACAGGATAAGGGGGCACAGGCCATGCATTGGGAGAGCAGGGCGAGCATGGTAATGAGCCAGGGAGGAGCACGTGCCTCCCTAGATTTCTGCTCCCACAGCAGGGTGTGGGGCTGCAGCCGGGCTGAACCAGCTCTGGGCAGGAGCCACCTCTGCAGACCAGCAGGAGGGATCTAGCGCAGGAGGGACCGCTGCACCACCTTGCCACCCAGGTGAGGCACAGCAACAGCACGGAGTTGTGCATCCTGATACTGCCGCTTGGGAAGGGGTGCCTCACCTGGGCGGCCATGACAGAGCAGCACTCCCTCCTGTGCCAGGTCCTACCCTCTAGGCTGCAGAGGTGGCTCCTGCCTTGAGTTGGTACAGCCCAGTTGCAGCCCTATGCCCTGATATGGGTGCAAAAATATGTGGAGGCACATGCCCCTTCCCGCCCCGCATTGCTTCTGCCCTCCCCAGACCCCTAACACATGGCCTGTGCCTTCTCCCCATTTTCCTCCCATAGACTTACCTGAAGGGAGCTGCAGGAGCTGCTCTCCACTGCTGCCTGGCATGTGTATATGCACATGCCCATGCCCCCCCACTTCCCCTGCAGCCCCAAGCACCCCCTTTCAGGCTGAAACTCTGTCAGCCTGCAAGAGGAAACCCATGGTTTCCTGGGCTTTTCTTCTTTAAAGGAAAAAAATCTACATTTTTCTCTTTTAAAGGATAAAATCCGTATTTTTCTGTGGCAAATGGAAAGCCCGGATCCCTGCTTATCACGTCTGTTTTACGAGTAAGTGAAGAAAGCAGGACACCTCACATGTAATAGTATGCAGAGATTATAGGTTTAGGAGGGTACTGGTGCTGCTGGCTTCTGTCTAACTTCAGGAAGGGCTTTCTCACACTTTCCCATTGAACATACAACAAAGAAACCACCTGAACACTCACCTACAAACTCCGGTGTCCCAAAAATATTTTTAAATTCTACTCCATCTTCTATTTTGTGGGCCAGGCCAAAGTCAATGAGCTTTATGTGTGGAATAGGGATGTTCTGGTCTAGAAGCATAATATTTTCAGGCTAGAAGTAATTAAACATAAAATTTTAGTTAGATTATTAGTTAGTAATTTTAGAGATTGAGATCCCAAGTAGAGTCCCTTAAATCATTTTTACATGCTTGGAACGTATGCAAAATTGTAGGACAAGTTAAAGTGTGCATGTGCAAACACATGCACACACATACACTCTCTCTCTCTCTCTCTTTCCCCTACTCCAGTAATGTAGAGTTCATTGTTTTGCTAAACATATTTATGGAATTTGAAATTCAGCATCAAACAAAACTTGAAAACAGCTAAGTTAACATGTCCCAATGTCTGAAGTGTTCAGTACTTCCCCTGGGGCTCTGGGGACACACACAGTGCCTGCTCCAGCTGTTCTGGGACCAGTGCTGTTCATGGTTCCAGACCAGAGGCCAGGCGTGCCTCATGAAATACGTTACATGTAGCGCAATGTCTGCTTCAGGGTCCTAATCACATGTGGCACCTGTCCCAGCCACTCTAGGACGCACACTGCATGCATCATTAATCCTGGAGTGGGCATTGCTAGTACTGGATTTCACATGGAGGGTATGGGTGAGGGTCCAGGGTCCATGGGCATTTTGGCATGATACAATGCTGAGTCACTTCTATAGCCCATGAGGCCAGATGAGTTTGATACCCCTGGTTTATAGCAATTGTATCTGTCTCCACCAGTGGTTTAACCCTGAACAGATACCTTAAAAGGCTGGTCTCAACTGGCCAGATACCATGTGAGAAAGTTCTGAAACTAACCCAGAAGAGAACAAAATGAGAATAGTAACAACAAAGAAAGTTCAGATCTGGGATTAATATCTGAAGACCCCAAAATGGAAGGGGATAAGATTGGAGGTTCTAGCTCATGTCCAATAACTAGCTATTATAAAAATACCGGCAATATTTTACACTGTTATGTGGCCAAAAGCACAGAGTTGAAGTTGGCAAAACTGGGAAATAAAAGGCACAGTCATTTATTTCCTCAACAGGAGGTTTTGACTCTATGATCTCTACTGTACTTACTGGATATTTCAAAGTATTAATTTTCTACTAGCTTTCTTAGATTAAATCATTTCCCAGCCCTCCTCTATTTTACAGGCATTACAACAACCTGCCTGGCACAATTTGGCTCTGATGAAGAGCTCCAAAGCATTAATTTTTCATATTTTACTCATAGCCTGGGAGCAACAGTCAGAGAGTATGATTCCCTGTTGGCAGCTACCTGTTGGTTTCAGAGTAGTCTACTGTATGAGGAGCAACTACTAATAAACATTCTCATTCCACATTGAGGGAAAGAGGGTGTATGAATAATTTATTCTCACAGTTACTGAACCAATATGATTTTAGCTCTAGGCAAACCATGCTGGGTTTTTTTTCTAGAGATTCAGTGCAGTAGGGCTGACAAGAGGGTATGTTGCAGATATGTCATGGAAGTGCATTTGGAACAGTACTACAGTCAGCATAGTATATAGGACAGGAAGGTATTTGGCATGATCTCTGCATTTGGGGCTAAATCCTTAGCTAGTATACATCAGTACAGCTCCTTTGTAGTCAATACAGCTTTGCCAATCTACCCTGGGGAACTAGTCCTTAGTGTTAAACATAAGTATTTGTTATTAATTAAATAACTATCAAGTTAATAAGCATGCCTCTGGATTTGAGCAAATGGCAAGGTACAGGGCATGCTAGCTACTAGCAAGAGGTCAAGAGAGCAGATTAGCAGGGAAGGAGAAGCACTGGGAAAAGTGGCTGACTGTTTGATGTCAGAACAACACACAACTGTACATAGATTTCCTTTGTACTCCATTCATATATCTGGGTAAAAGTAATCGCCACCCTGTTCACAGGATAATTAATGTTTCCATTATGCAACATTTTCCATCCACAATTTAGTTTTCTTGATGGCTGTAAAACATACCTTGCCACGTAGTACTATCCCAGTAATTTCAACAGAACTTCAGCACGAGCTGATAGTATTACTGATACAGTGTCAAGCTATTTGGAACTGTTATTATGTTTTTATTGTTCATCTTTGTACAGTGCCAAGTACATCAGTAGTTAAAGGAATCAACAAGAAAACCTTTAGATACTTTTCAAACATCATGTAAAGGACAAAGCCCTGTCCTGAAGAGGTCACAGTGTCAATAGGAAGCGAGTAAATGGAGGGAACTGAATGGACTAACAAAAAAGAGCAACTGAACAAAGTTCTTCAGCATTGGATCAGTTCCATGATTTCATATATACATATAATCCACCTAGCTTTGCATTATTCCTATGAGCAGTGTTATTACTTATAGGACCCTTAGGAGAAGAGAGTTTTCAACTGTCATAGGGCACCTGCATACATACAGGGAGGCTGCTCCAATTTGCTGTAATCACAGTACGTCAGAGCAGGCTTGATTAATTAAGTCTGCTGCAGCGTGGTAATTACCATGCTCCAACAGGCCCCAGCATCTCGCATATTAGCACTCCCACACTGAAAAATGGTGGCAAGTGTGCTTTCAAGTTAAAGTGCCTCCCCTGCCATTTTTCAGCATGGGAACACTGATACACAAGATGCTCCCAGCCACTTTAATTAGAGCAGCTCTCAAAGCCACTCTAATTAAAGCTTCCCCCCACTCCCAAAGCACATGTATAAATGCCCATAGTGTTTATAAAATGCTTTAAATTAATTTTTCCCTTCTTCTGCCAGGGGTGTATTGTCCATCTCCATCTGTTCAATGAGCTGTTTGTTATAGCAGCATTTGCTTTTCAGACATTGCTTTAGTCAAACCTTTGGCAAAGCTATTTAAAAAATAAAAAACAAACAAGCAGGAAAACCCCCCCAAAGTTGTCTTTCACATTAGTCCTCCTTTCAAGTTCTGCCAACTTTCTACCTTTATTTAAAAAATTCAAATCAGTAACAGTGACAGAATAATTATAGATCTCTATTTCCCTAGTTGCAATATTGCTCAAAAATACATGCCTAGCTTAATACTGCAGAAGTCCTAAAATAAAAATGAGATGAACTATTTCTCCAATTCTACTTTAAATCACTTTCATTATTAGTAAATGATGCCCTATTCATTTCCATTTGTTCATTTCTGTTCTTCCTCTAATGTCCTTATTGACCACCAAACATTACTGACATTGAACATATACATTTCAGTAGTCAGAACTCAGCATGGGGAAAATTTTACTCAAGTTCACATTATTAGTTTATGTCACTCCATATTCTAGTATTTTTCTAGGGTAAAGGGCAGACACAAGCATTGTGGCTCTCAAGGTAACTAGCTGAAACGTAAGAGTACGTGTCTTGCACACACAATGTGTTTTGCACGCACACGCACACACTTCCAACCCCCTCACCCACCATATGAACCCAAATCTGGATAATAGTTCAGTTGCAACATGTATTTTCTAGCTGTAACAATCAAGAACTATATTATTACTGATATAGTGCCAGGCCCTTTAGCAGCTTCTTTGTATCTTCATAAAGTGCCAAGCATACTGTCAGGACTTGAAGGATTTATATAGCTATATTCCCAGGTACTTATGGAATATGTATTCTGATAACCTGGGAACATACTGATGCATAACATGAGCATCATGGGAACAAGGCACCAACAAATTTAGGTTGCAAAATAAGGATAAACAACATGTGATCTAGTCTAAAACCAACGCTTCAATTACTTCTTTTTTTTTTTGTTTTAAAAAGTCCTTCACTCCTCTGTCTTGCTTTGACCTTTCCTTACCCTGTATGGTAAGGGACTGTACATTTTATATGTAGCTCTAGAAGTGGCAACGTTTATGGCAGTTAGTTCCACATTCCTCATGTAATTCTAAACGCAGCTGCTATTGTTGTCTATGTTATGTGTGATAAAAAAAAACTAGACAATTCTAGCTGGACTGGAAACAGTATGTAAATATGCACAGAGGCAAAATGGATTTAGAAGGAAACAGGCTTGTCAAAAATAAGTCTCAGGATAAGAGTCCAATATTTTCAATGCAAGTATTGCAATATATTATTACTAAATTCAGTCAGATTAAATTGCTTTGATGGGACTATTGAGACCAAAGGAAAAATGTCTTAAAATGAACTTGGGCAGTTTACTAGTTTGTGAGCGCTTCAGGGCAGGTACCATACATCTTTTCATATGTCTATAAAACCCAGATATATTTTGGGTGCCAGTACAACATAAACAGTAAGGAACAGTAATGTTTGTAAGGTTTCTTCACCATTAGAAAAAGGTTAGATCTTAGGAGAAGGAAGGCATTGCTGCTTACCAGTGAAAGCTGCCAGTTCTATTCAACGCAGAAAGCCAATAAGTCTTAGTTCAAACAACTAGTCATTCTGCACTTCAGCTTTATTATTACCTGCTGTATTTTATGTATCCTCATTCATACAATGTATTATACAATATATGCTACAATATTAAATTAGCTAGTTGTATTAGATTAATATGTTTACCTTTAAATCAAAATGTGCAATTTTCTTGGAATGGAGGTAATTAACACCATCCAAAATCTGCTTAATGAACCTGGTTGCTTCCTCCTCACTCAAAGACTCTTTCTGTGCTAGGAAGTCAAAAAGTTCTCCTCCAGACACTCTGTAAGACATGCACGGAAACCTCCCATTACATACAGCATAGTAAGGCACAGACCAAATATAAACATAATGAAATGGCAAACTAGTAAACCCAAATCCTCTTAGAACAAGAAGTGTGAGCCAAGAGATCTAGGTTCTATTCCCAGCTCTGCCCACACTTCCCCTGCAATGTTGAACAAGTCAATGCCTCTTTATACTTCAGTTTCTCCTTCTGTAAACACAGAACTAATATTTCCTTACCTCAGTGTGCAAGGCTTCATTCTTTGATACTCATAGAGCACACTGGGCCTGATCCTATTCCATGTATTGGGCATTTAAGGGGATTTTGGGGGCTAAGCATGATTCTATTCCACTTGAACAAATCCCTGAACATCCATTAATGCATCTTCCTTTTGTAACAAACAATCATTTTACCCTCAAGGATGAGTTACAATAAGGCGGTAAGAAGTGGGGAAGACCCACGTGCGTTTTGTATTAACAGTTTTTCAGAAACTTGAACAGAGCAGAACAGGATTGCACTTAGGCACCTAAGTCCACTTGTATGCCTAATAGTTGGAATAGAACACAGCCCTCTGAGTTTCAGCTACAAGGCCTTATAGAAAGGCATAGTAGTGGTAATACACTCAAGCACAATTATACTATTAATAATCTGCCTTTTACATATTGTAAAAGTACAGCATTGGTAAAGAATCACTTTCACTGTCTTGTACCATCATTAACATGAGGCAGTGAGACCTGCCAGCAGACTACTTCCTTTTCTATGAGGTGCATGAAGAATACATTGGTACTTGCTTGACCTGTAACCAGTGGAGAAAAGTGTTTCATGCTGGCTGAATTTTTTTAAAAGAAATGAGTTTGGAAAGTTCCATAAACTGTTTCCCCAAAACAAGGATTTGTGAGAACAATGCTCCAGTTACTATTTGGACCATTTACATCAACAAGAAAAATGTTATTTACTACATACAATACATCTGCTGCCATGTTTTTCTTACACTAAAAATACAGCAACCATAGTTCTATACGGCAACACACCAAAATATCCCAAGATGACAAATTATTCATTATTAGTAGTGCTATTATTTTGCAACTTTGACATTTATATATCACCTAACTCTTTCTGTTTATCCTTGGTCATGCGCAGCAACATAGTAACAGAGCATTCATGGGCTTTCAATATATATTCTTAACTAAGGATTATTCACTACACAAGGATTCTAGGATACAACAGTGTTTTGGAGAACAAACCATTGGCATTACTGCCTGACAACAGACTAAAAAGTGACGGCTGGAGGATTCAGATGTTGAGTTAAACACAGCTGTAACTCCAAGACAGAAGCAGCTTAATTATTTTTCTTGCTGCTCATTCACATTGCTGAAGGTACTGGTAAATACTGGTCTGTCCTCTGGTTCCTGTGGTCTCCATCTACTGACAGAAGATATTAGAATTGCATGAAAAATTCAGCTTCAAACAACTCAATGAAAGGTTTGTCAAAGACACAAAGGACTGAGCATGGGCTTACTTTTTAGCTTGTGCTGTTGCTGTGGGCGATAGTGTATTTTGCTTTTCCAGAGCCAATAATTTACACAATGCTGTCTGCCTTAGTGTGCTATATTTCACAGCTGAAGCATTACTAAGCAGTAGGATGCAGACCATGGGACACTTCGACCTGGGCAGGAATCGCTCAATATTTTGACAACTAAACAAACCTCAGATCATCCAGGAGTTTGACTCGACTGTTGCCTAGGGCCTCATTTGTACTTCCTCTTCTCTTGAAGATTTAGTCTTACAGCCACTGTCTCTTCTCATTAAGTCTCCATTTTCCTTTTAGATGACATTTAATAAGCCAACAGGAAAAGGTGCTGACCAAATCATTCTTCTTCGACACTGGCCATTGTACTGGCCAAAAGGGAAATATTGCCTCTTTCCCATGTAGCAGCAGTTTTTGGAACCTGTGAATTATTTTAGATATGTCTAAAGTAGATCAGTGCTTTACCAATTTATTTTCTTAGTGCAATCAGCTTGTTCACAAAGAGAACACAAGTCTGATTTCTTTGGCTGCCTCTGTTCAAACTGCTTTGGCAATGTCCTTTGACAGATACTGGTGTGTGTCTTTAGGAAGCAGCTCTTGGGCTTTTTTCTTTAAATCTTGCAATCTTAACAGTACAAACACTTTTTTACCTTCCTTTTCATGTGAGAAATCTTCTAAGCTCAAGGCTCATCATGAAGGGACATTTGGCCTAGAAAAGTTAGTTTGAACAAGGGCTATCCTTTTGTGCAACTGCTTTACAATATTAAGGAATTTTTTTGAATGGTTGCCCAGACTGGAAGTTTCTTGCCACACAATCCTACTAAGACCCCTTCATTGCTTTCAGACAGTGACCTAGAACATTTTCACATCACCACTTGAGACCAGGCTTTAGTACCTCTTGCCATAATATCTCCATGGGCCCATTTGACAGAGCCTTGGTTAACAAAGAAGAATGTTCCCCTCTTTCACAAGGTTGTCCCTGAGCAATATGTTCACTTTCTCCCTCTTTTCTGGATTTTCTCTTCTTATTAGCATTCACACTCAGCTTGATTCAAGGCAATGCTTTGTGAAGTGGAACAGGGAGAGAAAATTTCCAAAATACAGAATGTGCCAGAAAAATAACCTGCAACTGTACAAGTTTGGTGATAGTTCAGCATAAGGACCATCATCAACAACACAAGACAACACCACAATATGCTCTGGAGGTTGAAAGCCTTCTCCAGAGAGATCAGAGTGCTTTATAAATATGAACAAGTTAATCCTCAATTTGCCTGTGAAACAGGGGAAACTTGGCCCCATGTTGCAGAAAGCTTAAGTGACTAAACCAAGGCAACACGTAAGTCAAAGACAGACATAAAAAGAACCCATTCTCCAGACTGCAGCACTGTGGGCAATTATACACATGCTTCAGGAGTGGCAGAGGGGAGGGGAGTGCACTTTAATTAGAAAGGCTCTCAGAGATGCTCTAATTAAAGCGCCTGAAGCTTCTCATACATCAGTGTCCCCATGCTGAAAAATGGAGGCAGGGGCACTTTAACTAAAGCTCATTGAACAAGCTTTAGTTAAAGTGTCTCCGCCACCATTTTTCAGCATGGGGATGCTAACACGCGAGATGCTGGAGTCTGCTGGAGCACGGTAATTACTATACGCAGTAATTTGATTAATCAAGTCTACTCTGACGTGCTGTAATTATAGTGTGGCAGAGCGCCTCACTACACATCTATAGGCATGCTCTGCTTTTACTGAAGGAAAGAACAGCAGTGTGTGCTCCAAGGACCCTTGAAAGAGGTTACTAAGAAAACATCACCCAAGCTGTGCTCCTAAGCTCAGGCACAACCAAGCAGAAGAATCCAATCCCCCCCAAATGCACCCAGTTTCCCAGATGTGCCTGAGAGAAGTGCATTTAGACAGCCACTGCTGAACCTCTAACCAAATGCAGCTCGCCACAAACTGCTCTGCAACAGGACACCCAGAACCTCACCAGGAATTACAACTTAGGTACATCTATCCAACTGTATTTTTTAAACTGGCAGTGGGAGCAAAAAAAATATGTCATCCCTTTCCCTAGAGAAAACAAGCCTAGAACATCCCACTTTTCCCTCCCCAGGACTACTTCTCTTCCCCACTGGACAGCTGTCACACTCTTCTTGTGGTGAAGGACAATTGAGATACAGCCACACATAGTAAAAAAGAAGTGAAAATGCTGCCCTCCCTCCTTGGAAGCAGATGATTATTTTCTTTCACAAGCCTCAACATGTACCAAAAATACAGATTGCTGTTTTAGGGTTAAACACAAGATGGCCTAGGGCAGGCCCCAAGAGCTCAAGAATGGAAGAGAGGGCATAAGGAGCTACCACAGATCTTTCCCATATATCCCCCAGGTGGAAAAGCAGATTGTGGACCTGAGAAGCTAAACATAAATAGTATCAGCTGACTTAGCAGTGCTCTTCCTGTCCCTGAATCTCAAGTGAAATGTGCTTCTGCAGAGTAGAAGCAGCAGCAGTCATATCTACTGTGTGAAAGGGACAGTCTGTATTTACCCAAATCCAAGACAACTTCAAATTTAAGACAATTCTCCTGATAACTAGATTCTATGCATGGAAAATCTAATTATTGGAGGGTCATTGTTTCATACCTGTTAGGGGCATCTTAAATTCATCCTCCCACCACTGCAGTGAAGAATGCAGAAGAAAGCAGTGATTGGGGGGGAGGGGAGTGAAGAGGGGGGCAGACAGCCTGATTCCCACCCCTTGTCCCCAATAACTTGCCTCCTGCCTGTTCCCCCTAGCACTTGTCCCCTGCTGCTTGCACCCCCTAGTGCCAGCCCCCCTGTGGTGTCTGCATCCCCACCACCTCTGCTACCCGTAACTGCCTGCATCCTCCAAGGGGCTACTGCCTTACCCTCACTCGCATCACTGGCTCTGATCTCATTCCAGACCGTAGCGCAGAGCATATAGTGGTTCCAGAGTCAGGCAGCAACACCTGTGTAGGCAACAGCTCTGGCCCCAGCCCCAGCTCCAGCCCCAGCTCTGGGACCGGGTCAGAGTTGGAGCTGGGGCTGAAGCTATTAATGCCACAACTACTATTGCTTTGCAAGGCAGGGCCAAGGTCACTGTTTGATCTATGCTTTGGGGTGGAGTGGGGTCAGAGCTATGATTGAGGGTAACAGGAAAAAAAGTCTTGTCTTGGGTTTGAGTTAATACAGTAGCTGCCCCATTTGAGCCAGCAGATTTTAGCTGGTAACAAATACACCTCTATAGCTGGATACTGGAGATCTTGCCACAATACTATAACAGCCTCTTATTAATCAAGGTTAATCAGTCTTTTTCTTGAAGACAAAGTCCAATGAAGGTAACAGTAAGTTCAACAGCACTCCTGCAATACAGCCTGAAGAGATTAACCATAGGGAGTGTCAATCTCTGACATCAGAGTCAGGAATGAAGGCTCTATGTTTACTGTAAAGATGTACTATAATTACCCTGATTAACAGTACTTGTACTGCAGCAACACCTGAAGGCTTCAGGTCAGAGCCCCTTTGCACAGGCACTGTACAAATAGGAAATTACAGTTCCTTCACCAAACAGCTGACAATCCAAAACACAAGACACACCAGGTGAACACGACAGACAACCAGGAGGAGATAGGGGTTCAAAGGGTTACATTTTTTTCTTGCTACTACATTTTTTAAAGTTGCTAAAGGAGTCCTTAGCTTTGTACACAAACCTCTCCAGTGTCAATATTTACACTCAGAGGACTGATGGGAAAGTAGGGGGAATCTCTGCCTTCTCTAAAGACTTCTGTCAGATATTGAAATCAGAAATGGGACAAACAGTAGGAGGCAAAGAAAACCTTCCTCTCCTGCATAACTCCTTCAGATCCGAACGTATGGCCTTACACTCCCAGATTTGGGGTCAACAACCTTTGGCCTGTGGGGTGGATCTGGCCTGCGGAGCCACTGGGAGCCTTGTGACTGGGTGGCACAGAGCTTTGCCAGTGACCTAGCTGAGCAGCAAGGACAAGCAGCAGCGGTGGCAGCAGCACGTGGGTCTCAGTGCTGGCCCTTCTTGGATCCAGCTGGGTCATTCTGGCCTGCCGCCCCAAAGGGTTGCCAACTGCTGTTTAGGGGCTGCTGTTTGACATGCTCCCTTGGAGCTGTGAAGCAGTGAAGAGTCTGAGTACTTTTACATACACTGCCACAAAGTAACTGGGTAGAAGCAGATGTAGTTCAGTTAGATCTATGTAAGGGAATGCATAAGCAGTCTTACAAGCAAAAAAGAAAAGGTATTAATTCCGAAGTTATGCTGTTATTTTGGGGCCAGTTTGTGTGCAGAAAAGCCCAGATGCTTAGAGCTTCTCCTATTTCACTGCTTTAAAAAAAATCTTGCAGAGACTGGAGATTTCTTTTGACTCTAATAACCAATTGCAAAATTTTCTTGAAATGACACTGAAACAAACTGTTGGCAAATCTCTTAGTTATGCAGACAGACAAATATACTGTGTTCATCTCCACCAAAAACCCAGAGCTCTAAGGATCTGATGCTCCTATTGAATCTTCAAGGCATGGAGTATTTGCTTGAGTCAGTATGATATCTGTCTGCAGCACACAGCAGAATGGCTGACGTGCAGAGCTGGAACAGAATACTGGCTATAAATACAATCAACACCATGTGGCACCACGTGGCCACTTAACACTGTTTGTTCTCAGCTTCACCCTGTGAAGAATGTTGCACTCCTGTGTGGTGAGCTGTCTGCATAGTTACAGGGTGATTCTCACAGGGGTTGTGGTGACACATTTTGATCGGTGATGATTATCTACTGCAGTGGGGCCAACCTTTTTGGCAGGCACAGGGAACTCAGCGAGTGCTGGGGGTAGAAGTGGGGGAGTGGAAACAAAAGCAATGAGGTGTGGGGAGGGGGAGGGAGAGAGAGAGGGGGATGAGACCATTTTGGTTATCTCACTCACCTCCCCAGTGGTGTGGCACTGCACTACTTGAGGGGAAGGGAGTGTCATTCCACTTGCTCCCCATGCCCTTCAGCCCCCAGATACACTGCTTGGTGCAGCACTGTGCTACCCAGATCCTGTGGCTGGCCTAAGCAGTCCAAAGCTTCCCTGATGTGGCAAAGACCCCTGATAGGGGGATCCTGGCACCCACTCATAGGTGTTCCCCTCACCCCACATTTGTTATGCTATTGGGCAGGCATGCCACAAATCAAATCAAACCGAGCTCCCTGCCGGAGTGCCACTCCAATCCTCTTCCCCTGCCTAATCTGCTGCTCTGCTTTGTGCTTCCTACCTTGTGCTCTCTGCTGCTCATATGCTGCTCTGTTTACTGATCCCTGTTCTATTTACTGCTGTGCTACCTATGCTCTCCCGCATCTGCTGTGTGCCACATGTTGGCCACCCCAATCTACTGCATCAAATTCTGTAGTACTTCACTACATGTGGGGCATAAACAAATGTAACAATTGTATTGCTGTCAAAAGGTACTGATAAAAGCTGTTATGATGCAATGATTATGTCTGCAGTATTCTGTAGCAATACAAGTCTTGGAAAACCACTCTAGTGTTAACCCTGCTTCACCCAAGGGCAAAGTTAGGGCGATTTAGCTTACTTGCATCTCTAAGGGATCACACAGATGTAACAAGTACAGACTAACAGCTGCTGCATGCTCCTGCGAAGCAGGTCTCCTCCTCTCCCTTAAAAGTGGCTACAAATGTACACTTGGCCCATACCCTTGGTCAGTCAAGGCATTTGAATAGATGCTCATTCTAATACCTTCCCCCACCAACTGTACAGTGGGATAATCCTGTCAGACACTATTGCTGCTATACGATCTAGTGTGTGCCTCTCTGTCTGCTTCCTCAGCAGCTCTACAAGAACAGTTTTCTGCTCTGCTGGGATATATTAATTGGCCTCCCATCAAATTGCTGCCTACAATCCTTCCATATGCTAAAGTGACATTTACCTTCATGCTGGACTGGCAAACATCTTGGCTACACAGAACTGAGCTCCCTTGATAGAGTGACAATAGCATAAGTAAGGGGGAGGCACTAGCCCAAGTTGTTGATCTTGTGGGGAGGGATGCAAAAAAAACAAGCCACTGAACAGCTAGACCGCAGGTAGCACAGCCAATGACAAATGTCCCATGTAGAGTGGCTATCAGAGAAGACAGTCCGGTTTTCCTCTGTCCTCTATTGATATGAAACCAAATCCCTTGATGTCCTCTATGTTTCTCTTGAAAAGAAACATAGAGGACATAAAGGAGATGGGTTTCATATCAATAGAGGACAGAGTAGCAGAAAACTAGAATGTCCTCTATCATGGCCACCGTAGTCCCATGTAGTGCTGCCACCCAGGGCACTCAAATGTTATGTTACACCTCTATAGAGGTGCATTCCTCCTTTCCAAGGAACTCCTCATGTTTCCCTACATATGCAGGGACCTCCTATAGCAATGCACCAAAGGAAAAAAACTTCCTTGCCTTTATATTTATCAGCATGTCTGTACTGTCCTCTTAAACACCACTATATAAGCTTCACCCACACATGTACTTTGGCTGTAACCCACATATCCAATTCATTTAAACAACCCAAACAATTCCATCATTCCTGTAGCACTATAAATCTATATGGCACCTCACCAGTGAAGAATATAGCACATACCCTGTCCATCAATCTTTGCAGTCTTAGGCCAAGTGATTCAGGTACTTGAATTTCAGACTGCCCTGCATGCACAGATAATATGGATGTGAAGCAGAAACACATCGATATAATGGAATGCAATGTAATAGAAGCATTCTACTCGCCAGCCCTGCTGAAGAACATGGCTGCATCATTGGTTTACACAGGAAGGGCACTGCAGTATCAGAAATGGATGACTGGATCCTGCTGTCTCTTGAATCCAGAGGAGACAGGATTTCTAGGCCAATGGGAGAAAACACTGCTGCAAGTAATTTGTGGTTATTATTTGATACTCCAAACTCCATTCAAATGATAACTGAATAAACAACCATATTCACACTCCCTTTATGTGAGCTGTATTAAACTTACACATTTATAGGGAAAACAACTCCCTGAATGCAAATTCATAGATCCATATGAGCATTTCCTAGTCAAGGCTTTGTTATAAGGCTTTCTGAACACACCTTTAGCTTGCTAGTGCTGTACATTTATTCCTTAGGGTATCTAGAAACACAGGATCTGTAGAATGTCCTACCGTTCTCTTCACCAAGAAATGGGAACAGAAGTTAGGTGATTTAAAATCCTTTTAAATATAATACAGACTAAAGCAAAATACAAAGCCAAATGACTATTGTTCTGCAGCGTACACAAACTGTGAAAGCAGTTCTTTTGGAGAGAGGATCAACGCTTGCAACAGGAAGCTGCAAAGCCCTAAGGATTCTCCTGCTATCCTGGATATTATGTGGACAGCCAAGGACAGGAAAAGCCACCACCATTTCAAACCACCAGCTTCATCCTACTCTGAACCACTTTTGCCTGCCAGAGGGATTGCCATTCAATAGCCTATACCCCTTTCCTTGCATAATTTCTAGCTCCTACTGATCAAGCAATGGGAGATTATGTCACTTTCACGTCTTTCACCTGGCAGCACAGAGTAATACAAAAATGTTGCATTACGTAGACTAGGTTAAGACTTTTGGATTGAAGAATTTTTCAGTGGAAAACATTCTTTCCAAAGAAAACATTTTTCAAGGGGAAAATCAAGAGAATTTCACCTTGTGTTCATTCAAGTGCTCACCAGAGGCACTGTGGAATATCCTGGGAGTTGTAGTTTTGGTGCCACTTTCTCCTCTGCTGAGTTTCCTGTGTGACTACATCTACCAGGATGTACTGGCCAGGCCTTTTGCTGTCCTCATAAGCTTGTTATTCCTCATTATTTGTCTGTAAACAATTCTGCTTCCAAAAACACTGAAGGGAGAGGGGAAGAAGAGAGGGACTGAATAAAAAGGGATAATCACACTTCAAAACACGTCAGGCCATCACTCAGCAGATGTTAGGTGATCTGTGCATCCATGAGCCAGCAGGACTCCCTGCTGAAGCAGCGACCCCAGCAGACTCTCAAAAACATCTGTTTCTAGAGCATACAATGATTTAAGAAGGAGGTTATTTACTGGTGACCTCATTCTAATCCTTTGCCAGGATCTGTGAGTGGTTTCTGAAGTCTGACAGCCCTGAAGTTCCGTTTTAAGAATACCTGTGTACTCTGGAGGCCTTAACAGCCCTTTCCTGTTCCCATTTGTTACATCCTAGCATAGAGATAGGAAATCCTTTTACTTACAGCTCAAGGATGAGCACCACATCTGTCTTGTTCTCGTAGACATCATGCAGCTTGATGATGTTGCCATGTAAGATCTGCTGCAGAATATTCACCTCCCGTTCAATTTCCTCCCGTCTCACTCCACGGCGGCTGGCCCTGCTCTGACGCTTCTTAATGAATTTAGCTGCATATTCTACTCCGGTACCTTTCTCTTGGCACTTCTTCACTATAGCAAACTGGCCACTGCAAAAGACAAGGTTGTAATGATATTATAATAAAGCCTTCATAAATCCCACTGGCAATACAATCAATCTCCCTGAATTAGCCTTGCAGGTATGGGTTCTGATCCTGTAATAGCAAAGAGCTCTACTAGTCTGCTACTACAGAACTTTCAGGATTTGATTCAACAACTGCATGCAATGCATTCATTAGAGTTGCTTGAGATATTTCAACTGCATGGTGCTTTAGACTAAGACAAGTAAATAATCTCTTTACGTAGGAGGGAGAAAGTCCACATGTGGTCCTTGGACTTAATTATTTATTTATTTTAAAGAACAAGGTCTGGCTAAGATAAAATGGCACCGATGTAAAGTGAAAACCCAGATGGTTCCTTACTTGCCAGTGGTGCTCAGACATTCAGTTATATAACCTGCCATTTCATGTCTTGAAGAGGCAGGTCATACTTACTAAGCACTAGTGCTGGTTGATCTATACACATATATGCACTGAGTTTGAAAATCTGGCTGTTCCATGTTTTTAAAAATATGCAATTTCTCAATGCCATTTTAAATGAAGGAGAAAAATGTGTACAACATGTTATGAAATAATTCACTGCCCAAACACTTAAACAGCAGGCAACTGTTCACAGTTGTAAGCAGGCTTTTGCTGACAACAGCTGCTAGTGGAAGAGGTCATCATTGTAGTTCTAATATGAACATTTCCCCTACTTCCTAAACAAGAATACCACTTGCAGAGCAGATGACTAATACAGAGTGTAATAACCCTGTAAATTTTAGTCTAATTTCAGTGATAAAAGGCTCTTGAATCAGACACTCATTAGCAACGTTTAAACTGGAAAAAGGCAGGGGAATTCTTCATTTTAACTTGCAGGAGGTTTACTCCCTTTCTTATTTAAATCTCCCAAATACCATCAGATCACAAAGCAGGCACTCTTTGTAGAGAGCTGATATTTGATCCTTATGGCTCATTATAAGAGGTCATCATAATCATGGTAAAAGACCACATCTGAGCCATAAATATGGCACAAGATGGAGCAGTTACTCATGTGAACCTCTTCTTAGTTCTTTATGACTCTAGTAACTTACTCTGCACAGGGAAATCAGTGCCAAAGTTAAAGAGTACATGCATAATACACATATATGTATTTATTTTATATATTTATAAAATATTTAAATAATATGTAAATAAATTGTGAGGTTTATGAAGCTGGTAAAGGAAAGCCAACGCATTGCCTTGAACTATCTGTCATTAGTTTATATCTATATGAACCACTGATACCTACCTACTCCAAGGTGCTGAATGGACATAGAAGCTGGGGAATCAACTCCCAGACTTGGTTCATTCTAGATTTCATTACAAACTCAAAATTACAACCAGCATCATGAAAAAAAGCCTCGAAGTTCACAAGAGTAGTCAGATTTATTATTTGGCATAGGACTAATGAAAACTGACTTCAAGAACACAACAGTTTCCCCTTTTAAATTGTTTTTCAAGCAGACTATAGGATTGGAACAAAAGAAAGACTAGGATGAAGACAGTAAAATGCTGATACAGATCCTAGCAAAACCCACTGGTATTCACACAGCTATCTTTTTGGTACCACCACCTCCCATGTTTAAGTAAATGGACTGAATTCCCAATTCTGCCTGATCCAGAGCAACCTGGAAGGAAAAACATCTAATGAGTCTCCTATACTGTAGGTCAGTGCCCTAACCACAAAGATAGATATGGACAGACCCTGATCACTTCTCATGTGGGAAGTGGGTGTTCTAACAATTGAGCTTTTGTGAAAACATTAAAAAAATTCTAGTTTATTTCCTGTATGGAATGAGAACAAATTCTGAAACTTCCAAGGTTGTCAGGAAATAGGATTGCTGTCCTCTGGTCAGCTTGAATATAAAGGGAAAGAGAACCTGACCTGTGTTAATGAGAATGCCTGGCAGTCAAAGAGAGATTTCATAGAAGAGCAGAGATGTAAGACCTCAGCAGCAAGAAGAGCATCCCACCTAAACACTGTATCTCCTCAAACACACTCACAGCCTTCACACATGTGAATGAGGGTAGAGCAAGGACTGGAGACTTACAAAAGACAGTGCAAAAGACAATACCCAGCACTTCTTTACCTATATCTGAGAAGCATCCACTTCCAATGGCAATTGTGTTCTATAACCTTAGGTATCTTCCTGAGGCAGGATCTGGGCCCAAGTGCATTCATTTAATATCAGGTAATTTCTCATTAAGACTTTTATATCCCATACTCGCAAGAGATGGGCTCAGTAAATTGTCAGCAGTTCCCATCCTTAAATACTATGAGGTTAGCAGTCAAGATCTCTCTGCAACAAGCACAAACATACTCATTAATTGCAAACGTCCAAAATTACAGCTTTTCTCTTACACTGGAGCTATTCTGAAATATTACTGCTGTGAACATCATTGTCTCCTTACTTGGCCTGGTAACCATAGCATGCAAGTGCAGGTAGGAAAATAAGTTATATAGTATTCACTGCAATTATATTCAGTACTTTATAATGAGACACTCTAAGTACATTATGTAATTAACATACAAACAAGCTGTTGAAACAAGGGTTGTAAAGGCAAAGGTGTCCACAGACCTGGAGCCTCCCCTCAACTCTAACTTGCTCTCAAATGCAGAGGAGCTATAGCATAGAAAGTCACTAGTCACTTTCACATTATTATAAAGACTGCCATCTTAATATACTATCAGTTCATATATTCATAACTTTTTGGTGTGGGCCCATGAATTTATTTGCTTAGCAGACTTTTAGTGCATTAGACCTGATGTGCGACTAAGGTACAACCATTTGCTTAAAGCAGGGGTGCTCAACCCCAGGCCCACAGGTCAGATCTGGCCCATGGAGCCATGTTACCTGATCCACCCTTCCCATGGGTCTGAAAATTCAGCCATGGGGAAGCAGTGACAGCATTTACTGCCTCTCTGGTGCTGCCAAATTTCCAGACAGGAGGGATAGCATTGCCCTGCTAACTCAGGTGCACAAGGTCTAGGGGTGCACAGATAGGGATTTTGAGGCCAATAGCAATAGCCAATTTTTAAGGAGGTATATCGGCCAATATTGATCCAATTTCCAATACAGCATGGAGAGCTGCCTGCAGCTGGTAAGTCTGTTGTGGTGGAAGGGGAGAGAAAGGGCACTTGTGGTGAGGGAGGGAGTGGCTCTGGGGCAGGGGCTAGGGTAGGTGCTGTCCAGCCGAGATGGGGCGGGGTGCGGGACAGAGCTGTAGCTCATTCAGGGGGCACAGGGAGGGGGGGAAGCTCCAACTGCTATGTGCACCCCAGAAGGGCACGGGGGTGGGGTATATGCCCCCTGGATCTGCATGGGG